CCCCCTTTGAAAAAAATACACCTCCCACTGGGAACCGGGTGCTTTTTTGTCGCAATGTACATATGAACTGATAACACAAATAATTGAAATCTAGAAAGTAGAGCTTTAAAGCTTGATCAACTGTTATATAAATAGATCTTTTTATTAATCCAAAAAGTTTCCAACCATTAATGAACAACTAATTAAAAGAGCCGTTATTATAAATTAATTAGTGTAATCAAATTAAAATACTATGTATTAACAACTGAACTACACTGAAAATGAGATCACAGGTGCAATAAGCATTGGGATTAGGGATATACTTTTTCGGATTTTTATTGAAATGTAAATATATACGGATATATGTATATTAAAAAGAAGACATCTACCCGGAATATTGCATAGATTGGTGTTCAAGCGAACGCTACCAACTCCGAACAAATTATTCAGATCGGACCACTATATCATACATATGTACATCTGCCATAGAAGCTGATCGAAATCTCGGCAAAGATTTTTTTACACCCTTTTATGTTAAAAATGTCAGTGCTGTCGAAGTTAAAGTTGTTTCCCATTCTTTATTCAAAAAAAATTCAGAAATCTTTTAGTACAACCGTCATATAAGACATCTTCACATAATATTATGCATATACATACATATATACCTACAATGTATGTACTATATGTTTATAAATTACATGCATTTACTTGTATTATCAACGCGCAAACATTTCGCACACGACCAATATTTATAAATATAATTGTTATCAATTAAGAAAGCATATAATCCGCTTTTAATAATTCGAGTAACAAGATTATAGAATAGAAGCTTTTTAAATTYCGTGTTTACTTCGACACGCTTGCAATGCCTTGCAATTCAGTGCAGTTTGTGCAATGTCATTATTTACATTTCTTTTGTGTTTTTCAATATTCCTCTTAGGATTGACTTTGTATTTGAAAAGGCTCAGTAAAGTGTACTATTTGTTGGCATTCTGTAAACGCTTGAAAACGGTGGAYGGTAGTAAAGTAACGGATAAGGTGTACATAGTGCCGGGACGCACGATTTTTGGCAACAACTTCGACATATTGAATTCAAATCCGGGTGAGTGCACACCAATGTGTATTTAGTGCCGTGAAACTTACTTATCAGCACGTTTTATTCCCTGAACGGGTTATATTAAGTTTGACATGAAGTTCGTAACACTCAGAAGGAAGTGAATCAGAATTTATATAATAATTATATAAATAACGTGACGAGCTGATTCCATTTCGCCACACTCGTATATACRCAAACTAGGCTTCAGTTTTTGAGATATCAGTCTGCAATTTTGCGCACATTCTTTTCTTACCGAGACGCTACTTATTTGTCAGAACCGCCGATATTGGGCTACTATAGCATATAGCTCTAATACAAACTGACCGGTCCAGATTAAGTCGTTATATGAAAAACTTTTAACATTTAACAAGATAGCATTGGCAGCATTTGGCATGTATTATTGTTCGAAGCAACGCTACAATCTGTGAACGAATCGTTCAGATCGGAACACTATAGTATAAAGCCGTCGTACAAACTGAGCGATCCAGATTAAGTCTTTGTATGGAAAACCTTTTTATTTTACAAGATATTTTCACAAAATTTGACATGTACGCTACAATCTGCAAATGAATCGTTCACATCGGAACAGTACAACATATAGCTGCCATACAAACTGMGCGATTTAAATTAAATCCTTCTATGGAAAACTTTTTTGTTTGACATGACATCTTCCCRAAATTCGGCATGAATTATTACTCAAAACAACGCTGCAATCTACGAGCAAATCGTTCAGATCAGAACACTGGCGCCTATAGCTGCCATAAAAGCTGATCGATCACATCGGATCACTATAACTTGTTTTGTTACTACTTGAAACTTTTACTTTTTGAAATCTATGCATTATTTTGAAAGTGCGTTGAAAGTTGGACTATTTGGAGTTATTCGTACTTTTCAACAATTCTTTAATTTTATAATAAAATTTTCATTACTTCCTTTGCAGAGGATATTTACTACTGGTCTCGCGAGCTCTATCAAAGCGCTAAAGGTAAACCTTACGCTTTATATTATTACAAAGGGGTCATTTACTCAATAACAAGCCCGGAAKCCATACAAGAGGTTTTTCAAAGTCAAACATTAAACACAAAAGGCATTTTATATGACTTGGTGCGTCCATTCCTGGGTGAGGGATTGCTTGTGAGCTCGGGTAAGAAGGAATTAAACTATTGGTAAAAATTATTTATGAAACTTTGACTATACATACATATTTTTATATATATTTTGAACATCTATAGACCAACAATGGCATGACAGACGAAAATTACTCACACCAGCTTTTCACTTTAATATATTGCAGAGTTTTATTGAAGTTTTCAARTAAGTTTTGATACAAATTCAAGTTATCAAGTTCGACCATGTAAAAAATAAGCTTTTATTACTTGTTGCTAGAAATGAAACTGTAAAACTTGTGAACTTGTTAAGCGCGAAGAAGGATCAAAATATAAATCTAAATGAAATTATACCGGAATTCACTTTAAATAGTGTTTGTGGTAAGAAATAATAATTTGTATGCACTTATGCTAAATAATCACACACAATTCCCCGTCAAATATTTCTTTTCGGTTTTACTTGCAAGAAACCGCGCTTGGCATTTGCTTGGATGACATAACTGGCAGCAGCGAGTATCGCAAGGTCATACATGACATAGAGTTAGTGATGGTGAACCGGACATGCAATCCGTTCATGTATTTTCCTTGGATATTCAAATTGTTCGGCGATTACAAAGGATTTTACAAAAATTTGAAGGTAGCACATGACTTCAGCAGTAAGATTATAACAAAGAAACGCGAGGAATTTCAAAAACGGCAATTTGCCAACGAAACTATGCATGAAAATGAGTAAAACAAAACATAATTACTAAATGTCACTAATAATATTAAAATGAAATTTTTTAGTGATGAAATTGGTAAGCGAAAACGTTACGCCATGTTGGATATGCTTTTCCACGCCGAGTACGAAGGAATCATTGATCATAGAGGCATTTGTGATGAAGTTAATACATTTCTATTCGAGGGTTATGATACGACTGCAACGTGCCTCATTTTTACATTATTCAATTTGGCCATACACCCGGATATACAAGAGAAATGTTACCGAGAAGTCAAAAATAGCGGTGAGCATTGCACGAGATATAAGAAAAAACCAAAACAGAAGAAAAAAAAACTAACCAACAAAAGACATCAATTAAACAATTTCGAATTGCAGATTTGCCATCAATGAGCATTTTCGACTTCAATCAGTTGGGATATTTGGAATGTGTTGTAAAGGAAACACTACGTCTCCAACCCTCTGTGCCCTTCATTTCGCGTTACTGCCGCGAGGATACAGAACTCAATGGTGTGATATTGTCCGCTGGCAGTCAGATCAATATACACATACTCGATATAATGCGCGATGAACGACATTTTCCGGATCCTTTAAAATACAATCCAGATCGCTTTTTACCAGAAAATAGCATAAATCGACATCCGTTTGCCTTTGTGCCCTTCAGCGCTGGTTCAAGGAATTGCATAGGTTAGTTAACGCAAATAGATGTATAAACTCAATACAAAAATGTTTATATAAACACACTTGCAGGACAAAGATTTGCCATGCTGGAGATTAAAGCTATGCTGGTGGGCATTTTGCAGAATTTCCGGCTGCTGCCAGTCACCAATCCCGATGACATTCGCTATGAATATGGTTTGGTTTTACGCACAAAAGAGAATGTGTTAGTTAAGATGGTAAAAAGGGCGCATTAGATAGGTAATTGTAAAGCAATTAAGTACTTGTGGGAAGAGCGTATGCCATCACAATGAGATGTTCTGTATCTACGCTATGAAAAGTTGAATTTTTTTAATGGAATTTGTTGTATATTATTGTTGATCACTATATATGCTGTCTCAATGCATTAAATTTATAAAATATACACATTAGCATTGCTAATTTCCGTAAGTTCACCGGAAGCGGCACCAATAACTACTTTCTTATGTGGTAATAGCAAACAAACATAATTTTACCTGAAATTAATATCATCAACAGTAATTTTTCGTATAAATGCATGATTAAAGTCAATACCACACTACTTAATATTAAAACTCAATTTAATCACAAAAAATGTATACTTTTCATAAAATTGCGAACTTAACTTCTCACAAAGAACTCAAAACTGAATTTCCTTTGCATTTTATTCAATTATTCCCGCCAATATTGTGCGCCATCTACCAACGAATAGCGTATAACACCAAACTAATTGGTCAAAATAAACAGCAATTTATATTGATGTGACACTGGTTAGAGTGAAACAACAATACTCTATAGGAATGGACAATTGCATGGTATTGTGTGAGCGGAATTCCAATTGGCATTTTGAGAGCCATAACACGCTCCCAGCAAAACGCAACGGCAATATGAAAACACACACACACAAATACACCTGCATGGAATGCCTGCATTTTGCGAAAAAAAATCACTGAAGCCACAGAAGTTCCGATACCCGTAAATAATGAACCCCGCACACTTTTATCATAATTTCGAATGCACTTGATTATTTAAACATTGCTAAATGCACTTACCACACTCAGACTCCAATAGGAATACGGTAAAAAGCACAAAACTAAAAACAGAAGCGCGACTGCGTCCGCGATACAACAACACTTCGGCCATTTTTAATTGAAATTGAAACTAAAAAAAACACGAAATTCAAAACACACATTGAGAAATGTACAAATGACAGCCACAAAACGTAGATGGGAAAAGTAAACACATGGTTGCATTTTATATCGAGTATAATCTTTTTATCGAACATCTGTGGGAAAATGCAACAGAAAAAATATGCGTAGCCACATATCACATGTATAAGAGCAATAAATTCAAACAAAATTTACAATAATCAACAGTTAGTAAATGCTGATACTTTTCATAAACCCTAACCATTAGATTGAAAGTCTTCATTTTAAAAAAGAACAGCGCTTTTATTTTTGCTCATCCATTATACGTTACAACGTACACTTCAATTTTTACACTCTTCTCCAACTTCTTTTTTTTTAAATAGAAACACCCCCGTCCAATGCTAGTCCAATTTTAATTGTTTACTTCTTGGATTTACCAGTGGATTTCTGGGCGGGTTTCTTGGCTGCCGATTTGCCTCCCGCAGATTTGCTGGCTTGCGCCTTGGCGGGTTTCTTYTCAGCAACGGGCTTAACTGGTTTCACCAACAATTCACGTTGGCTCTTCAGCGCCTTTACGATCTTTTGCTCCTCAATAAGGAAGGCACGAACRATGCGTTCACGCAGACAGCTGTGGCACAAAACACCACCGTAGGTACGGGCAACGGTCTTTTGACGTTTCGACAAGCGGGAACGTTCGCATGGGCGTGTGGGACGAATACCCTTTAGCTTCTCTTTACATTGACCGCACTTTGGGACGGTCTTGTTCTTCTTTACATATTGGTACACAAGGCGACCGCCAGGTGTGCGCACACTGAAAATATATAAAATTTTAGTTTTTAGAAATTAAAGGATACTGCAGAGAATAGCATGCCATGTCAGTAAAAGTGTACATTAAAAATTTTATTAATCCAACAGTAGATGCCGAACAACAAGTCTTGTTTATGCCAAACTACATTCTRTAGTTAACCACCAATTATGTGTCACACAAATAMATTACAATTTTGCGTTCACCGGCACTATTCATTACAGTAATTTTATGGCAATTCGATTCCTTAAAATACTTACATACGCCTCCTGTTRGATTTGGTGTTGTAAGACAAACGTCTTCTCAAAGTCAAACGTTGAACCATTTTGTCCGCTGTAGCAATACATCGCAGCAATCATCATTGTAACAAATACAACAGAATTGGTATAGGGGRAGGGCAGTCCAATACAATCGCGGAAAAGTTGTATATGAAATTAAAAAACACACATTAGTTATTATGCATAGCAAGCTTTAAACATTTGCAACTGGTTTTGCTTCATAATTTTTAATATTCCGCATATTAGTTCACTGATGTTTTTAGATTTTTTCGGTAGTTGGCGAAAAATAAGTACGCATACCTTTAAGAAATAAACTAGAAAGGAAGTCGTCGGCAATGCAGGCGCCACGCGTAAACTTGGCTGCAATTCGACGAGCTGTCACATATGACAACTCAGATGATAGTCGGTAACAATGTGTTCAAAAAAAAAGTAATATTGCACAATAAATTGGAATTTTATTTGACATTTTTTTAATAACGATTATAATTTTTGCCAATATTACTTCATTGGAAGTTGAAGAAAGAATTTGAACATGTCATTTATATTAAATGAAGTACTCGATTTAATTTGTATGTCTTAAACTCCCAAACGCTTTTTCTGTATTTAGGAGTTATTATTAAATAAATTCAATTCAAGTTTAAATTTTATAACCGATGTGGCAACYTTTATTTTGATTTCTAATTGTATCCTCACATTCGTAAATAAAGTTTATTTTATAATTTGTGGAAAGCTGTAAAAATTGCAATATGGACTATAATATTCATAAAATTTGTCGAGTATGTCTAGAAGAAGGAGCACTTACGTCCATATACAGTACTGAATTTGCGATGATGCCTTGCACAATGTTGATGATGTGTGCCAAAATCAGGGTACGTACCAAATCACAAGATTCTGTGTTTGTCCATGAAAAAGTTACTAAAACATATTGATTTTTAAGGTTTATAAAAGTGATGGTTTACCTGCAGTCATATGCAATAATTGCATTTACCGTTTGGGTGTGGCGTACCATTTCAAGCAAGAGTGTGAGAACTCAGACATGAGACTGCGACAATATTTGGGCTTGCAGGACAGAGGATATGGGTATGTTATAAACATTAGATGTGTATGCGCATATGTAAATGTATCTTTTTACCACAAAACAAGTTTTTGCGATGCCGAAACAAACACGGACTTGCCAGTTGCTTCATTGAGCCATAAGCCACCTACATACTTGGACCCCGATTCTGAGGAGGAATCAGATGTAGGTGAGAATGTTAAGAAAAGGTGAGTGTAAACAAAAAATAGCCACCTGGTATTTCTAACATTTTACACTACTTAGTAAAMGACGTTCACGTTATCAGCGTAAACCGCCAGAAGAACATAAGCGACGTGGTCCGAAACCCTTGCCAAAACTACCACAAACATGTTATGAATGCAACAAAACCTTCAAGTGCTCCGCTCAGCTGCAAATGCATTTGCGCACACACACAGGCGAAAAACCATTTGGCTGCAGTTATTGCCCTCGACGATTTGCGCAGAAGTATAATTTGCACATACATCAGCGTACACATACCGGCGAACGTCCATTTCAATGTGAGATTTGCTCAAAACAATTCTCCGCACTGGGTAACTTTCAGGCGCATCAAAAAATACACACCGGCATACGWGATCAATTGTGTCCCGTATGTCAAAAGGCTTTCTACAATGCGGGTGATCTCACCAAACACATGGTTACACATGCACAGCTAAAAAGTCATCATTGCGATGTGTGTGGMAAGTCATTTAGTCGTCAGCGTGATATGCAAGCGCATAAACGTAAACAACATACCCTCCACGAACGCAGCGAAGATGATGAGGATGAGGCAGTAGATACCACCTGTCCTGATCCGATAGTTGTTGTAGGCGGTGTAGTGCCAAACAGTTCGCTTCAAGGTACAGCTGTGCTCCAGGAAAATTTCAAATGTCCCGATTGTGATAAAGAATTCGGTTCGGCGAGCAGCTTAAGTGTGCATTTTCGTTCTCATGCCAATAGCAATCTTTTGAATTTGCCGCTAACAAGTCAAATGCCACATCATTATCACGCAGCTGCGCCACCCCCGCCGCCGCCGCCAACCCATGCTGCCCTCACACATGATGGCCTACATCCGCACACACATCATTTGTCTTTGAACACACCATTGCAGCCCAATCATCCCACGCACATGACACACCATCCGACAATGGCACACATGCTTGCAGCAGCACAGCCGCCGCCACCACCACCGCCTGCAGCGTCTGCACAAAGCACTGCCGCATTATCTATGATGCATGCGGCCCAGCGTTTGCATCCTTTTTAAAACTCAGATAGCTAAATATTAATAAATAAGATATTGTTGTTGTAATTGTTTACACCAGCGCAAGCCACAGTTGGACAACAACTTGCCGATAATTAATGCGTTGATATCTTCTTAACTATGTTGTGTGTATATTTATTTTTACGTATATGTATATTGATAAAGTGTATACAAATGTGAATGTTTTCCATTTAATTATGCACGTATTGTAAAATTCAATACATAAAAAAACGCTAATACTAAAATAAAAAATTGTAGTATTATAAGTAAATAAAATTAAATTTGGCAAGCACAGCTTCTCATATTATGAATATGTATAAAACATATGGTGTATTTGTATTTCATTTCGTATTCACTACCGACACTACGCGAACGCTACTGAAAATATGTTGCTACAACTAATATACTATGTACATATGTATATATGTACTATGTATTATAAAAAATCTTGGAATGTAATATCTAATTTACATTTTACATTTAGTTTGGAATATTTTTAAGTATTTGGCGTTTTTGTCTCTCTATGATAGGAATATTGAAAAAAATACCTGCACTTTAAAGTATTTACTTTTGGGCGTGTTATCTTTATGCTTGCTGCATATCCTTTGCATCATTAGATATATGTATGTATGTATGTATTTGGTGAAAAATCGTTGGTATTTTGGTAAGTCCATGCACATTATGTACACCAACGAACATATACACAATATTGCTTATCATTTTGTATATTTATAAACCCCGCAGCCTGCTTTACTTGAGTTTTTCCCTGAGCCATTCTTCAGTGAGTTCATCTAATTCGCGTATTTCGTAGACACGAGTTAAGTCCACCTCACGTTGGAGTGCACTTTTGGTGCAAGCATACATCATTTGCAGCTCAATCTAATAGTTTAAAGKGAATAGAGTTTTTAGTTGTATTTATGGGAAGTTCATATAAATGTCACGCACCTGGCTATCGCGTGGTGTGTAAAATATGAAACACATTGGGTATGAAATTCTTTGGTCATCGTGTATCATTTTATACGTATAAATGATATATCGAGGCTGATGCCCTGGCAGTGTTTCTTGTAATTCATCAACGGAGATATCCTCCAAGAGTTCGTCCAAAATGACGAGTTGCTTTTCACGATCGACTTTTACTATAAAAAAAAAAAAAATAATAATAATGTATGAAATATTAATATACCAGATAAATGATAACTTAATATCACCTCGTTCAGAGTATACAAATACGAATACTTTGCCTTTTTATAATTTGTTTTGGCACCAATTCACAATTTTTTGCATTAGAAATCATATCACATATACATATACATATGTAGAGAATATGCAAATAATGAGATAAATAACATAGGAAAGGAGAAAGCGTTTAAAACACCTACTATTTAGTAATACAGCTATTTTTACCGCCAAATTTGCATGCCTAATGAAAAAAAAAATGAAAATAAATGGCTTTACTTACATATCAGTGCTGAGTTTGTTGTACTTTTGCGGAAGCGAAACTTCTTTAATGCGTCACGTACGTCGTCGCTGATGTCACAGATCTTGCTATCACCCTAGGGATAACACATTAAAAAAAAAAAAAACATTAAGCAACAAATATCAATTCCATAAATTGAAGCAATCCATCAAAAACAATAATAACACCATTGTCAATAACCGTTGATTCACTAATGGTTCAGTTATTTTCCGCACCCTTTTTTCGACATCGCACTCCCTTCCATTCTGTTGATATGTCGGCCACGACGTGCGATTTGTATTAGTCATAATATGCAGTAACTATACTAATATTAAAGTTTAATTATTTCCAACTCACCATTTTAATTGATTGATTTGGTATGCTGGCAGGATAATGAATAGATTTCCTGAGTTTTTCTGAATTCTAATATGTGTATGCGAAATTAGACACTTGGTGTTAGCAACCAACGATATCAAAGTAACARTGCAAATACAACACAATACAAACTAAATTTTTTTTTACAAATTAATGAGGAATGCGAGGTCAAAGTGGAATTAGCGAGAACTGCTGTTTGTGCTTGGCAGGGTTGCATATAACCAAAAAGTGTCATAAAAGGAAGTTAATTTTATAAATTTATAAGTTTTTGAATTATAAAATTTATAAACAAATTATAAATAGACAAATTTATAAACAAATTATCGTAGCAAATAGTTCACATTATTATTACAAATTATGTGCAATAATGGTTGCAAGTAATTTCTGGAAAATACATACATACGCGCTCATTAGAATGTCAAGTGCCGTTATGGCCGGAAATGCCGTTTACTAACGGTCGCCATATTTTAACAAATATTTTAATTAAAACCAGCCAATTTTAGTACTTGTTGGTAAAATTTTAAGTTTTTTGTGTTAAAAAAATGCTTACCGATTTTCAGGAATTATGGCCAACAAGTAGAAAAAGCGCCTTACCGAAATCCAATGAAGTGCAGTCAATAAATGTTGTGACAACCTGGTAAGTTATAGGCATAACGGAGCACACACAATTGTTTTTAAAGGCGTTCTTTTATTTCCAATTATATAAAGTGATAAATTACGTTTAGCCATTACACAAGCTTCTAATGACTTACAACGGACACAAGATATTTCACACAGGCGTTCTGGCGAGGATTTTTCTTTTCGTTCCATATCGCGTCTCTGTTATACAACTTTGCGGATCCATGAGCTACAAGTTGACGACTTACTGAGTAAGAAACGCAAAAATATTTTATAAAAGCATTATTAACGCCAGATTCCAATTGCTATTGCTATTGCTGTAGATAAATCAAAAGAACTACTAACGCAGAGTAAAAACTGGTGCACAGTGCAAGCCAAAAAGCGAAGGTATTCGCTGTATTTTTCACATAATTACATATTTACATATATGTCTTCTCTGTTAATAGTCTACCGACGAACTACTCCACCACTTACAGCGCAAAGAGGAAACGGCGTGCGACTGTGGAACATTCCTTCCAAGATTTCACATTTACAAATTTCACAGAATTGCTGGATGAGACAGCAAAATTTGTAGAATGGGGCAAAACTACGGAAATTGTGAACAAAAAGGTCCGTATAGAGACATGTAGGAAAATTGCTAGTGCAACATGTAATTATACCCTGAACAGGTTATGTTATGTTTGCCTTGTAGTTTGTAACACCTCGAAGAAAAGGTCAGAGACCTTATAAAATTTACAAATCGAGTGTATTTAGTTATGTTCGCCTGTCCGTATGTTTTTGAGATATCCATCTGAATGATTAAAATGAAGTTCTTGCATGGGAACTTGTCTTTTTTTACATACTTAGGTATCTAAAACAAAAAGCCACAATAGGACAACTTGTATTCATATTCGTGAGATTACCATCAATGAGTTTGATACGCATAATGAGCAGTATTCTTACGATGAAGATGATGGCTTTGGCAATACCACGGATGACGGATTAACCACGGTTATACAATTGCTTGCAGGTAGAGTATTCTATTGTTTATATAAAATTTTAAAGTAAAATAGTAATTAAAATAATGCATGTAGATGAACCTGCAAAGGCTTCTAAAAGAAAGGTATGTATGTGTGTATATGAAAATTCTTAATACACATTTAATCCATTTTAAACAATTTAGGCTGTAAATGCACTTGCCGTTTGTGAGAAAAAACAAAGGAATAATGATGGTAAATACGATAAATGCMGACATAATTTTTTTGTGCACAAAAATTATTTGCACTACTTTTAGTATCTCAAGAAGTTGTTGAAATCCCCGAAATCGACACCCCACGTAACACTGTTGCAGAAAACGAAACTAGCAAMAAATTCATACCAGCTCAAACAAATAACTGCGATAAGAGTAATGTTAATGAATTAAGGTAACATTAGAGCTAGTTTTAGTTTATATTGTGCATAATGCCAACTTAACGTTTTGTTTGTTTAGTCCTGTGCGTGCAGAACTGTGTGTTATGCCCGTAACCGATTGCAGTGCTGTCTTTGAAAATAACGATAATTATGTTGAGGTACCTAAAAGTGCTAACGTGGATAGGCTAACCTCAATGCTTAATGAAAGGCGCAAAGTATGCAATTATCACAATGTATTCGCTATTTCCTTTATTATTTTTATGATAGAGAACATCTATTTTCTCATTTCTTCGAATTCAGGATGCTCCCAATGAACATCTGAAAAAATCAAAATCTAAGCTAAGTAAAACCCTTATCGATGCCTGTACGGCATTAACACAATCTGAAATGCGTGCGCAAATGCAAACACAAATTAACATTAAAGCCAAATTAAGGAAAGTAAGAGCTAAAGTGAAGTGGAATAATGGACGGAGACTTAACGGTAGAAAATACTATGAAAAACTGTTGCCTTCCGCCAACGAATTATTAACTAYACTTCAACATAAGTAATTTTGAACTTTAAATTCTTGGGATACTTAAAACTATAATTAAACACAATTTACAGTTGTATCGCATACAGGAAATTTAAACTAAAGAACAAAGCGAGACTTTCTAATTTGGAAGCGACTACAGCGAGTGTTACTTATCGCAATTTGYTACGAGAAATTTTAAACTGCGAAATTACCGATGATTTGGCTACGCAAGTTTACACAAAATGGAACTACATTGAAAAGCGTAATCTACGAACTATAAATAATTTAACAAAATACAGGACACCAGAAAATGCTGAGATGTTACAACACGACGCTCGCTACAATGAAAGCTCACTATTGCCAAACAGTACAATAGAAGTTGATATTTTCAATAATAATAATTTGCAGCACCCTAATAGAAATTGTGTAAGCTAATAGAAAGTATTACGTATTTGATAAAACAGTTATATTTATATATATATAGTCACCATCGAACGAGCAGGATGAGTGGGGAGCTTACGATATCATGATAAAGCTATTAAATATGTGGCGATCCCAAATTGTGTCGGATGACGAAATCTCTGTGAAACTGCTTTTTCCACAAATTACAATGAGTCGAAAAGCAGCTGCGAGGGCTTTCGGTGCATTATTGAGTATAACTTTAAGAMTTTTATGAAATCGTTTAATAATGAAATAATTATATAAATTCTGTAGGGCTTGCCGCAAATGGTTTTATTATGTTATTTACAGCCGAGCATACAAATCATTTGCGATGCATCAAATTGGGCGCAGCTTCAAATAAACTCATAGAGGGAATCGAACTGAATAATGAAATTTTTTCCAGACGTTCAAACAACGGATTGCGCATAGTTGCGTGTTAAGTATTAAAAAGCCACATTGTTGTTATATTATCTTGTTATTGTTGAAAAGTATATTACTTGTTGAATTTGTTATAAAGTATATATATTACAAGTTGTTATAGCATTAGCATTTAATCGTGTTATAATTCACATGTCTGTAAAGAAAACATGAATTAAGAAAAAATGAAATACCAATTGAAATAAATACTAACTGAATAATCTAAAAAAAATAATAATAAGTGTGTGTAATTAAAAATAAGTTGTATTCTATATTTTATTAAATTTCTAACTACAAGAAAAAGTTTTATTTGACTACCTTCTAATAGCTTAAATGCCTATTTGCTGAGCTAATCCTGTGTAAATATGAAGCGACATAAATCCCATGATAGAAGCAATCAGCGCTTTTATAGCAATTGTCGACCAAGGTCCGAAGGTAAGCACGCTAAGCAGTCCTTCAAGCCAAACGCCCTTAAATATTGTCAGCGCTAATAAAATGGTCACTAAAGGTTTTAGTGTTTTGTTAAGATCATGCCTAGAGAAAAGYCACATTAATGTGGCAGTGGTGATATGCTGCACCTATTAGGAAATAAAAATTATTAACCAATAGTTAACAACTGAAACTTCAAATTTGCTGTCAATTTACCAATAAAACATTAGACTCTAGACACTTAAGTATGTAAATCCAGCTGAATTCTGTGCCACGTGCTCCAACCCARAGCATAATGCCACGAGAAAGTATAACTTCTGCAGCGGCCCACCCTAAGCCGGTCGTTATCAATTTATTGTGTCCTTTACCTGGTATGCGTGAAAGTATCAAAGCGAAGCCAAGTAAATCGGCTACGTTAACACTACTCTTAAGAAACTCCTAAAAAAGCAAGAAAAAGTTTTATTTTATATAAAAAATGATATTTAATGAATAAGAAATATGTATATACCGCTAAGAAACTAAAGCCCTCCCCTGAACCATTCAGAGTGTCGGAATCAAAAAACGTAGCCAGCACAAGCATTTTGCACAGTTGAGTGAAAATATAAATACCACCGGCTTGTATACATTTCCAGAAGGCGCCATATTCAGAACTGTATATATATTTACGATTTTTATTAATGAATTGTTTTTCAAAATATAGGTTAGCTTCAACTCCCATTTTTCTTTACTTACAGCCCAGAATACTTATAGGTGAGATAATATGGCACATAAACGAGTGCTACACAATTTCCAAAATGGTAAAGTGTCATTTTATATTCAATCAATTCAGAAAATTTAATTAAATTCGTCAAGTAATTATACTGGTGTTAAATGTAGAAAATATTTTTTAGTAGAAGTGAAATTGCAGGTGATTGTTGAACTTCGAATTCGGGTTTTAATAATCTTCGAAAACTATGTATATGGCCAGATCAGATGGGGAGTACAGCTACAAAATAAATAAAACCCATAAATTTTATTAGTTCCTTTCAATGAGTAAAAAATATCTATTTATTTACCACTCATTTAAAAAAATGGTCATTACAGATTTGTGTAAGTTCAATATTCAATGAATTAAATTTAGAAATTTATAGCTTAGCGCCATCTGTATAATTTAAAGCTGTCAATTAAATTATATTGGGTTGACAGCTGTGAGAGAAAGACACGTATTACCTTGTTTTATTTTATACACTTTATTTTTTGTGGAAAAGCGACGATACATTATAGCAAAATAACGAAACTGTTTAAATAAATGAAATAATTAGTTATAGCTACGTTTTGTACAAGCAAATCCAATATATTGTTGTGATCCCAACTGTGTACGTGGATTACAAAGCAATTATCCAAAAGTCCCAATGGTACATATGTGTGTATGGATGCGTAAAAAGTGACGAATGTTTGGTTTTTATTAACAAAGAAAAAAGCAAAATATTACTACAAAAAAGCGAACGCCAGGAGGAAAATCCAATAACTACTTAGTAGATTATGAGATGCCAACACGACGACGTCATTATCCACAAGAAACTACAAGATTCTATGAAGGATCCTATGAAGAGAGCTCAACACTAATTCCATCTCAAGGTCAGGCGCAGCAACAACAGTACAAAAATCCATTATTTGGTGGAGCAGTAGCTCCCACAACAAGTGGCAAGGAAACATTCATCGCAGGTTCAGCGCAAGAGTCAACCATACTTATTGGTGACTATACCCAACCAGCAAACAACGGTCTACAATATAATTCTAATAATAATAATTCAGTAGAAGATCCCGACGATAAGTATAGTAAAGCGAGCCGTCAGTGGAATTTTCGTTCGTTTTCCACACGTTTGCAGGCAACATCTGGCCAAGCAATACGCAACTTCATACAACAACCTTTGAGTGCTGCAGCTGCTGTCGTTACTGGAAATCACCCAGCGCAAGAGTACAGCGCTTACACTCAACTGACTCCATACGAGTATACGCAACAAAGAGTTGAGGAAACAGAAGAAGAGGATCCTATATTTGAAAAGGAAGAAATATTCATAATGGCTTCTCGYGATAGGACTGGCGAATTTAATAATGCAATACGATCTTTGCAGTCACGTAATATAACACGCGCTGTGAATATTCGTGATCCACGTAAAGCGAAAGAGGTTCAGAGTTATTCAGAGTTTATGATGGTGGCAAAATATATTGGGAAAAATATTGCCAGTGCTTATGCCAAATTGGAAAAACTAACATTATGTGAGTACGAATATTTCCACTAATATTTGAATAATTTAACCTTATAGAAATTTTTTATATTACTAAAGTGGCCAAAAAGAAAAGTCTATTCGATGATCGACCGCAAGAGATTCAAGAGCTAACATACATCATAAAAGGCGATTTAAATGCGCTCAATCAACAAATTGCACGTCTTCAGGATATTTCAAAGGATCAACGCCGTACAAGCTCTGGTAAACATTTGCAGCTACATTCCTCGAACATGGTATATGCCTTACAATCCAAACTAGCCAGCATGGGCACAGACTTTAAACAGATATTAGAAGTACGTACCGAAAATCTCAAACATCAGAAGGCGCGTCGTGATCAATTTGGACAGACACCAATTGCAGCGAGTACAGTGCGATCGAGTACAGCGAAACAAGGTTCGCTACTTTTAAGCGAAGAGAACTCTGCCGTAAGCATTGATATGGCCGCCAGTGACACGACACCATTGCTGGGAGCTGTTGGTGGTAGTGGTATGCAGACGCAACAGCAAATCGCACTTTATGATGATTCCGATAGTTACGTGCAACAACGTGCTGAGACTATGCAAAATATTGAATCGACTATTGTAGAACTTGGCGGCATATTCCAGCAATTGGCACATATGGTTAAAGAACAGGAAGAAACTGTGGAGCGTATCGACACAAATATACAAGATGCTGAACTTAATATCGAAGCAGCACATGGTGAAATATTGAAGTACTTCCAAACCGTTTCCAAGAATCGGTGGCTGATGATTAAAATATTCGCTGTACTGATATTCTTTTTCATTTTCTTCGTTGTCTTTTTAACGTAATGACGTGTAAGTGTTGTCCATGTGAAATAAGATCGGTTTTATACAACACTTAATTGTGGTCATTATAATTAAAGTTGTGGAATTCTCAAAACTTGTATAGTTATATTCTGTTTTCACTAAACTTACACGCTATTCAACGTATTAAGGCTTTAAAGGCACCGAAGTTCTGCCTGATATCAAAGCATTTACGGCGTGTTTGTGTATTTTTAATTCGGCGAGAAATAAAATGTTTACTTTGGTGTATTTAACTTTTTTAGCAACACATAACTATGACAATGTGTATTGTAATGATAAACCGATTTATGTAATTATCAATTTATAAAATAACATTGAAAAGTTTAAAATAAAATAAAATAAAAAATTGTTATTGTCAACAAGAGAAGCCGATTGTTTGCATCAGTGATAAAAAGAAGTGACAAAGAAAAAGCCAAAAACGTTTTAAGGTCTATTTATATTTTACATTTGCTATTTGCAGTGAAAATACTTATACTGTCCCACACACAGAGCTCACTGATTCGAGTTTGTTAATAGTCAAGTTATCATTCTGTATACATAACTTATCTCTAATCTATTCGTAGTCACTATGCAACAGCAAATTAKCAGAGTTAAAATATTTATCAGAAGCAATGTGTGAGCAAACAGGAGGTTTTGAATATCCACCAATTCATAAATCAGTTTTCAAACATCTTTAATTCCATTCTTTGCAGGTGAGCAAATCTTTTGACAAGTCACGAAACACATCTGCCATCAAAGTGATTATGAAAACACTGCTACTTTTGTTAAGTACGCAATTCACATCGTACATACACAACTGAACACGAAACCAATGTGTGTAGATGTGAAAATAATTGAATCTACCTGCTAGAAGACCGAAGAACAAATATGTATAAATTCAAAACGCTACTTTTATCATTATTTAGTTGCACATGTGATTTTATCTTTACTTCATCGTGATTAGATAAATAAAATGTATGCTAGTTTGTAGATAAAATATTGTACATATTTACTAATACGATAGTGCCGATTAAGCTAGATATGATGTAGAAAACTTGATATCTTCATTAGTGATTTTTAGATTTTTTAATAAAATCGCTAAATAGTTATTCGTTTTTTTCTCTTTTATTATAAAAAAATCTCAATTTATGTAGTGCATTTTGAAGCTTTTGCAAACAAGATGTTGATTACTAGCAACAATCTCAAATCTTTATAATTTGAGAATACAGTAGTAATAAATATGACTTTAATCGTTCTCACGTACAACTCATAATTACCCAAAATCAAACTAATATTTCTTTATATTTGGTTTGTTCATCTGGCTTCTTATAAGTGATGAGATGGTGGTAATTATACATTTATTTATGTTTTTGTTTAATTTCGAGATCACTACATATTTTATTACTTCTACGTAGATATTAGCGCATAAACCATTCTGTAAAATAAAGGAAAATATTTAATCTGGTTAACATAACTTAATCAAAACTTACCCATAAATATAATAGAAGAATGAAATTAAGTAGATGGCTAACTTAATCCAACCCTCACGCATATTTTTCGTCAAATTATCTGTGCTTAAAACAGTGGTTGGRTCGTACAGACCGGCACCAGTCATGACAGGGCGATTCTTGTAGCTAAAAAGTAGACAAAAATACGAAATATTGTATTTTTTTTGGGGAAGCGTGCATTGAACTTTCAGCTTTAGAAACATCTAAGTGATGATTCATGCTCAAAGTTCTATTTTTTATTCCCATAAATTCTTGGTTAAAATTAAAGGCATTCTACTAAAATTATGCTTACCGCCATATGTGGTAAGCAATTAACGGTATGTTAATACAYAAGGAAAACCATTCGCCACACAACAGGAACAATAAATTGAGGAAAATATGAAGTAAATATTCGGGCAACACCAACTGCAAAAAATTTATAATTAGACTGACAACTACTAATTTAATGGCCTACTTATAATATAGAGTGTACATCTTCATTTTACTTACCGGGTTCAGGCTGTTACATTGATCTATGGGGTTTTTATAGTCTGTTTTTAGCTCATCAAAAGCGATTACATGAAATATAGCGAAAAATATTAAAAATGCATCGCCTATTAAAGCCACTATGTAAGTGAACGCTGCGAAATTAAAAGCCATGTTTGAACTATTTGTTGATTATTATTTCACTGGCTAGGTTTTATTTAATACTCTGTGATGTGATAAAATTTGTTACAAATCGGTTATCTAGATGAATTCTTTACAAATGTCGGGTGGAAAAACAAATTTCACATCAATCTGATTTTTCCACAAAAGTCCAAAATTCGAGGTTTTGACAGTTGTCACTTATGAAGGGTGGCCAGACTAACGTTTGTGAAATATGTTAAACGTGATGTTTTTAAGTAAAATATTTATTTTCGGAATTCGGTTAATAGCTGGTAAATGTGCAGTTAAAGCAGCATTTGTTTAGAATGTCTGGAAATAGTGAAATTATCCGTGAAAATGCTTAATAATAAAATTTTTTGCAAGTAATAAAAAAAAATAAACATTCAAAAAGTCACATCTTATATAGTAGTAGATAAAGTGATATATATATAAAATATATTAAGGATAATTTATAAAATATATAGTATAGCAAACGAATTTRGAAAAAAAAGCAGAATATTCTATATGAATACATAAATTTGCAACCCTTACGAAATAATTAYCAACAGCTGATTTTGGCATGTACTTCACAAAGGGATAAAGAACAATAATCCCATTTGGAAAAATAAGTTTTGCATTGTATCCGTCAAAAGAAAAAATTATATACTACCCAACGTAAGTTTAATGGTACTTAGTTTGATTTTTTATCCACTTGAGGTGATAAGATAGCAATAAAAGTG